TTCCCACTTACTTTTTATCTTTGTTTCAAATCCCATGCTCTGTCGTTGAAAGGATTGAAAAAATTCAAAGGGACTTTCTATGGGGTGGAAGGGGAGAGGAGTTTAAGTATCATCTTGTTAATTGGGAGAAAGTTTGCAAGCCTTTGAAGTTAGGCGGTTTAGGCATTCAAAAGCTGGTTCCTTTTAATAGAGCTTAATTAGGAAAATGGTTATGGAGATTTGGCAGGGAACGACATCGCCAGTGGAGAAGGGTTGTCTCGTGTCGTTTTGGGGAGGAGAGTGGTGGCTGGTCCTCTCGTCCAATCTCTGTTGTAGGAGGCGTCGGCGTGTGAAATTCATTCGGAAGGGTTGGGATGTCTTTTCCTCACATATTAGATTCAAGGATCGTGATGGTAGGCGTATGCACTTTTGGGAGGATTTATAGTGTGGAGATCAGTTGTTGTCTCATTCCTTTCATAGACTTTATAGTATTATCGAAAATAAGCACGCTTACGTAGCTGACTGTTATCGGCTTGATAACAGTGGGGTTACGTGGGATGTGTGTTTTAGGTGTTCTTTTCAGGATTAGGGGATGGAAGAAACATGAGTTTTTTTGGATCTGTTGTATCAACAGAAGGATGTTGGCAGACGTAGTGAAGACATTTTATGGGTCCCTTCCACCCATGGTAGTAGATATGGTGTTCGGTCCATGTTCTTGTGTCTGTCCAATTTCGTTGGTTATGATTTCCCATGGAAGACTATATGGCGCTCTAAGGCTCCACTTAGAGTGACATTCTTTGTTTGGACTACCACCTGGGGTAAGATTTTGACGTTGGATAATTTAAGAAAGAGAGGTAACACTATTGTTAATTGGTGTTGTCTATGTAAAACAGACGCCGAGTCTGTGGATCACATTCTTATGCACTGTCCTGTGGCGTACGATTGTTAGAATCTCATCTTCGGCATTTTTGGCGTTCATTGGGTAATGCCTTAGTCCTCCATAGAACTGATTAACACGTGGAAAAGATGCCCAGTGAAAGGTCACGCTCGTGACTATTGGAGGATAGTTTCACACTGTGTTTGGTGGTGTATATGGAGAGAGAAATAGCAGAAATTTCGAAGGAAATGAATCGTTTTTGGCGAACTTAAAAATTCATATTCGTCGTTCTCTTTTCTATTATGTGAGAGGAAGCGCTTGCTCTTCGACTGATGACTTAGTTAATCTTTTGGACTCTATTGGTCCTTAGGTTCAATTTTCGCTTTTTGTATTAGGGACGCGTTCCCCTTTTGAACGCTTTTCTAATCAACTTTTACTTAAAAATAAAAATAATAATAAAAAAAGATGTGGCAGCCAGATGGATGAGGATATGGCAATAATAATGAGATACGTAGCAAGATAATGGTGCCCAGATAATAGAATTTTCCTTTTCAATCATGCTTTCTTAGTTTGATTCAATTCTTTTTAGTTAAGCTTCTTAGTTTAATTCAACTTCCTTTAATTAATTATATTCGTGTTGTATTTACATTCCTTTTCAATATAGATTCCCCCTTTATCACTCTATTATTTCCAGTCCTTGCAAACTCCATTTTCAGAATTAGTAGTTTACTTTAATTCGTGTTTCCATTTCAAACCAATTGCAATTCGCTTCCATTTTAAAGTCCTGTTCTTATAAGGCAACTTGAATCCATTAGAGAGTTTAATATTCTCTCTCATACATCGCCTGGTCAACAATTTTTATAAAAGAGACTTAAATTGATCGCACCACTATAAATCGAACCAAGCCCACTAGTTCTGACACGCCCGTGACGATTTACGGGTCAACAGATTGCAATGTTAATTGAGGAAAGGTCAACAGTACCAACACCTCAACTTGGAAATTGCGAGACAATGGATTTTAGGTAATCATAAGAAGTTCTTTACCGGGTTGAGACTTGAGCCAGTGATTACCATTTGATATTGATCTCTTTATGAAATGAAAAGCGGAAACTAGTTGGAATTTAAAAGTTACGTCTTTTTTTCACAAAAAAAAAAAAATTAAATAAAATCAATGGGCATTAATGAAGTAAATGAAACCCTCTCAAATGACAAAACTAATATACTTGAGCTATTATCATTAGCACTGGACCTAAAGGAGATGTATTTGGCTTGTTCAGGCAAAGATATATAACATTAGTAAAACTGCCACTTGGATCTAACTGAGGAGATAGATGAGCATCCCAAGGAAAACTTAGACAATGCCATTCAAAAGCAGGAGATCTATAAACTCTGTACCCATTCCACCACTTCAGCACATCCTAGATTGATCCAACTGAGAGTTGGTAATGGCATTTTTGTGGCCGTGTTGTGTTTGATCATTTGAGATCATATTATCCAAATTACTTTAAAAGAAAGTAAGCCTAACATCATTTTCATTTAGGAGAACATTCAACAAATGGTATCAGTTCATGAACAATTCTACACCTAACAGGAAGCGGTACATGTAAAATGCAAGCGATCAAAACCCATGAAAATAGATGTAGGAGATGGGACAGGATTAAAGACAAAAACTTGGATTGAAAAGAGAAAGTAGGTGGAAGCTAAAAATATGTTTGCTGACATGACCAGTTCTAAGCTATTTAAGATTACTAATTATTGTTGGAGCAGCGGAAGCACATAGATACATTAATTCAATGAAAGCCAACAAAGCAATCACACATAAACACAAGATATACATGGTTCAACCAAAACGGCCAACAGCCATGGATAAGAAGAGATTCCACTATGATTCGTAGAGATATTATAACAATAGAGTACTAACAATTCATACATGTATTTTCACCATGTACCACTCCACGAGTCTATCTCCTCGCTAACAGTGTCACTGGTGTTTTTCCTACTCTACCAACCCACATACTACCTCTACCCATCAATTCCCTCGTGAGACTACATCTTTCTCAATCTCACAAGTCTCAACCCACAACATATGTACCTATTTATAGAGTTACAAACACAATTTCTTGTTGGACAAAGATTACAATTCCTTAAAGGTTAAGACTTGCCAAACAAGAAATTACCTAACATAATACAACTCTAAAATAGAATCCTAATTAGTATAGGAATTTGAGACACGATTTCCAACAATCTCCACCTTAGCTCAAATTCCATCCAACCAATCATCGCTTCCACGACATTGATCATGACAATTTTTTTGCAGCTACAATCTTGACGATACTCCTGCAAAACTCCAATTGTCCACATTATACGTTGCTCGATTAGTCAAACCTCCAAGGCTCCACCTGACTACTCGAGCTCCATGCCATGTGCCGATTAACTCCACCTACAACTAAAGCCCATTGCAGCATATGTTGAGACTTCCTTGTGTTTTCTGGATCTCCTTCACCTTTAGCTATGATACCAATTTGTTGGGCAGGGGAAGCGTGCAAATACAAAGATTCAAAGACAGCCAACAAAGTAATCACAAACAAACACAGGATGTACATGGTTCAGCTACATCCATGTATGAAAAGAGATTCCAGTATGATTCGTAGAGATATTACAACAACAGAGTACCAACACCACGTACATGTCTTTTCACTATGTATCAATCCACGAGCCTATCTCCTCGCTAAGAGTGTCACTGGGGTTTTTCCTACTTTACCAACCCACATACTACCTCTACCCATCAACTCCCTCGTGAGACTACATCTCTCTCAATCTCGTAAGTCTCAACCCACAACTTATGTACCCATTTATAGAGTTACAAACACAATTCCTTGTTGGACAAAGATTACAATTCCTTGAGGTCAAGACTTGCCAAACAATAAATTACCAAACATAATACAACTCTAAAATAGAATCCTAATTAGAATAGGAATATGAGACACAATTTTCAACAATTATTTTATCTATTTTTTCTTAAAATAAGTGACACGTGTATTATAAGGAATAACAAGAAAGCCGTGCAAGCATTCAAAAAAATCTCTCCCCTATTATATATAGTAATAGAATTTAAATGAGGGAAAGTCGTTTACTATTGATTATTCAATACCAACTCCTAACTTTGCAGAAAATAACAATTGGGCACGACTATTAAAAATATCAAATTGCAACCTCCAAGTTATTCACTCTGGAGAAAGAAATTTGATGATTCAGTCAGGGTCCACGAGGATAATGATAAGCATCAAAGCTATTATCCGATTGAAAAGCCTCTTGTTAATGAATTCCATGACCTTAAAGTTCACTGGATTGGGGTCCTGGAATTCTTAATCTAAAAGCTCAGCGAGCAAGCTCCTCGATCCGAGGTGTAGTTCCTCAGACATCAAAATAATTTATTTTCTATAAAACATCAAACTCCTCACACTCTCCCAGAAAGGCAATATATATATAGTAATGTAATAATAATGATTAAAATATGACAATACCACAACAGCAATAATGACAACTCTAATGATGGAGGTGGTCGTGTAAAATGCAACAGTGTACATGAAAAATCTTTGCCTTGGATTTCCTATAAATATTCATAAATTAGAAGGGTGGAAAGAAAGGCAACCTTCTCCATTAAATATACATGTACAGAGAGGGGGAGAGGGAAAAGAAAGGCAACTGTAATCTCAATTTTCATAATTCTAGATAAGTTGTGGATAAGAATGGGGCAACTTCCTATCAGAATGGTCTACCACCATGGGTAGGGTAGGAATAAAATTTTGGGATGGATTTCACGGTGCAAGTTGGATTAAAGCAAAAGGCATGCACCCAACCAAATCTGGTAAAGTTTGGTATCATGCACCCCAAGAGAGCCTCCATTACCATCCCCCACATAAAGTCTCAAAAAATCTGATAAAATCAAGAAAATTTATTCCGACTTTTCAGTATCTTACAAATAATAATAAAGAAACTAAAAAACGGTAACCGGTAATGATGTCCACAAACCAAAATTAACAATAGTTATATCTAAATGCGTAGAATAGATCATATATTGGCAAATTATTGAAACTTAAATTGTGACATAGAATAAAGGCAATATTATCTTTCATGCTAATACCTGTATCTGGGGGAATATTGCTATCACCAATGGGGTTGGATTGCACAGAATCAGCCATTGTATTTTGCGATTTGATCTCCATTGACATCAATTTCATAGATATTTTTCTCAAATAATCAGACTGCAATTAAAAATTAAGAAAAAATTATTAGTAATTCATGGCAAGTAGGAAACCCAACCGTGTTTCACACTAACATGAAAGGAAAAATCTAAAGAACATAATTAGAGCAACAGTGTACACTGTAACATGCCCACAGGAAAAATTAAGAGACACAATGATGAACATACCTGACTTAGTGCAGCAGTATAGACCTTTTCCTCAAACCTTACAACAATTTTCTTAAGTTCTTGTAGTCCCTCTTGTCCTTTAGAGGGAAGATGCCACTCCAAAGTCTCCGTTCTACACACGTTGAACATTATATTTCAAAAGGCTAAACAAACAATAAATTGGAAGTTCAGCGTACAGTTAACAAACGGCTATTCTAAAAGCTTGAGCTATTTGAAAAGATGTAATTGGATGTAACCTAAAGTGCTTATATACACAATGTGCATTTCTTGCATGTCACCAAACACCCATTCAAGAGAAAGCAGAACATGTGGATGTATTATTATTATCAGTGGAAGTGTTGGGACTTGAAGAGAGTGAACCATGATATCATCATGTTAGCAATTGACTGCTTTACAAACTTAAGATATTATAGATGGTATAAATTAAGAATTCAAATAACCCTAAAAAAACCATAATAAATAATTCAAGAAAAATAATAACACCATAAAGAAACTGCTGTAAAGTATTACAAGTTAAACCTTAATCTGAAGCCAGAAGAGACTTCATTTAAAGGCTTCTGGAATTGAAAAGAATAATACTGTCTCAGCAATGTAGCATTAATGTCTTTGTGACCAACCATGTTACAAGGACTTAAAGAAAAATATCCTTCAGTTCTAACAATGGTAGCTTTTGGTTTAAAATGTCTTCTATTCCTTTCTTTCCACACATTAAAGGACACAAAGGTTTTCCATCTTATAAATCTTGCGGCAAATTTCATTTCTTGACTTAAACCACCATTCTCATTCAGCATTTTTAACATCAAATAGCCCAAGAAAGCAACTCCAGCAAAGGGTATAAGAAGACCACAATTCACAACGAGCATGAAGATAGGATGATCCTCCACTCAAAAAGACTGGTCGGGTCCAACTCAAGAGTGAGTAAAATGCATGGCAATAGAGCAACTTCACTTGTGAACCAACAGCAAGTGAAGGAAACAACCTTAGTGTAATGCGAAACCAGCACTTGCCAGCTCACCACACAGTAATGGAGAAGGTGATTAATGGATTTTCTTGAACACACAACATTTTTTAGAAGCATCTCAAAAATATACATGGATGTGTGTCTGTCTGTCCGTGTGTGTGTGTGCGCACGCTTCCAAATCTATAACTAGGGTCAACTGGACCCTAGGAGGGGGCAACAGGCTATGGAGTTTTATGTTTGATGGGATTAGCTTGGGGGCACTTGGTTTCCTCTCAGAGGCAATACTGTAATTTTGATAAGTTGGGAGGTATTTTGGAATATTCCTAAGAATCGCTAAAAATTCCCAATAAATACATAGATTTCATGGTGCCAATCCTTTTTGTCTTCTATGGCATTCCAATATGAGAAGTGGATTTCAAGAAAAGAATATTCAAACTAATTTCATTTGATATAATTTAATTTTATACAGCAAATTTATCTCAACCATTTAAATCTGTAGTATATATTTCGAAGGGCTAGCATAAGGTAGACAAATTGGTTTGTTCACTAAGGAGCCATCTTTGTTTGATAGCAAAGGGAGTCGGAAATGTATAAAATTGCCATTTCCATGCTTCTTCAATTCGCAATGCCCAAAGTCTCCAATTCACTGTGCACAAAGAAGAACACATGCTGCTTTAATGCAGAATTCCTACAGGAAGACCTGAAGGCTAACTAGTGAATTTTTCTCCCGATTTCTGTTAAAATGATCCATATTCCAAGAAAGTATTTGATTTTCACATAAGCAAAACAAGGAAATTTAAGGTTGAAGCTTTTATGTGAAACATAGATGCAACACAATAGAGGATATATTACAATTCATCCAATTACATTTTTGGAGTTCAACATCCAACTCAACTCAACAAAACCATTACGGACTAATAGGTTTCATGTTATGTCAATTCGAACAACTGCTCTAAGGCCATAACCACGGCCAGCCCTCATGTAATGATATCCTTCATACTGACTCTACCCACATTAACTTTGGTATTCCCCCCTTCCCCTAACATTACCCTCAATGTGAACCATGTCACTCTTCCTAACTAGCGCACCGAGTATTTTTATTTGTATTTGTCTAAACCAACTTAAATCAATTTTCTATCATCTTATCTTCGATCGGTCCTACTTTAACCTTTTCACGAATGTTTTCATTTCTATATTTTCTTGTCTTCATACATCCATCTCAAAATTCACATTTCCGCCACACACATGCATTTGTTGTTTCTTAGCTGCTCAAATTTCATCCCATAAAACAACTGGTGTTATAGCTATTTAAAGAACTTCCTTTTCAATCTTACTTGAATAAGCAGGTCACATAATATACTAGATGCATTCCTCCATTTAACCCACATTGTCTTCATTCTATGATTAAAACCATACCGAATTTCTCCTTTATTATGAATAGAGCCTAAATAACGAAGATGTTAACTTGTTCACACCTCTTGATCCTCAATCTTGACTACATCCCTATTTGTATTTCTAAGTTTGCAAAAGTTAAACTCCATATATGTAGTATTGTAGCTATTTATCTTAAACATTTTTAATTCTAGAGTAGCTCTCCAAACCTCTCCACAAAAGTGACAAAATTATGAATTTCAGAAGGACTATAAATCACATTAAATCTATCTCTAGAGCGAATGGCTCTTCATTACTGACTATAAATCACGTTAAATCTATCTCTAGAGTGAATGGCTCTTCATCACTGACTATAAATTCATCAAGGAGGAAGCTGTTCAATTTTGTTAGAAGCTTTTGACTGGGGATAACTCCCACCCCATTGATGTTTCCACATGGTTTACCAAGACTTTGCCTGATGATACTTATCATTCTCTGGGTGCTGATATCACTGAAGATGAGGTGAGGAATGCCATCTTCACCATGAAAGATGAGAAAGGCCCGGCTCAGATGGCTTGACCCCATGCTTCTTTAAGGAATGCTGGGGGATAGGGAAGGATATAACCATGGTTCAATCTTCCTTTGCTTCCAGTAATATCCTCAAAGAGATGAACTCAACCATTTTAACCTTGATTCCTAAATCTCCTAATGCTCCCTACCTTTCAGATTTCAGACCTATAGCCTGTTGTAACCCCTTATATAAATGTATGACTAAAATCCTAGGTAATCGACTCAAATATGTTCTTAACATGCTCATCTACCCTAACCAAACAGCCTCTTTCATCCCAGAAAGGAAAATTTCAGACAACATCATGATTACCCAAGATCTTTTGAGCAATTACCATAAACCCCTTGTGCCTCCAAGAGCTACTCTTTAAGATAGATATTAAAAAAGCCTATGACACTCTCAGCTAGGGCTTTTTTGCAGCCTCTCTCCTATGGTTGGGACTTGAAGAGAGCCAACCATGATATCGCCATGTTAGCAATTGACTGCCTTTAAAATGTAAGCTATTAGAGATGGTATAACTTAAGAATTCAAATAACCTTTTAAAAAAATAATAAATAATTTAAGAAAAATAACAACACAAAAGAGAAACTGTTGTGAAGTGTTGCAAGTTAAACCTTGATCTGAAGCCACAAATAGGAAACTTCATTTAAATGCTTTTGGAATTGAAAAGAATAATACTGTCTCAGCAATGTATCATTAATGTTTTTGTGACCAACCATGTTACAAGGACTTGAAGAAAAATATCCTTCAGCTCTAACAGTGGTAGCTTTTGGTTTAAAATTTCTTCTATTCCTTTCTTTCCACACACTAAAGGACACGATGGTTTTCCATCCTATAAATCTTGTTGCAAATTTCATTCTTGACTTAAACCATGATTCATTCAGCATTTTTTAACATCAGTCCAGAAATAGCCCAAGCTACCAACTCCAGCAAAGGGTAAAAGAAGACCACAACTCACTACAAGCATGAAGATAGGATGATCTTCCACACAAGTCTGGTCCAACTCAAGAGTAAGTAAAATGCATGGCAATAGAGCAACTTCAACTGTGAACAATCAGCAAGTGAAGGAAATAACCTCACTGTAATGCGAGACCCGCACTTACCAGCTCACCACATAATAATGGAGAAGGTGATTAAAGGATTTTCTTGAACACACAACATCTTTTTAGAAGCATCTTCAAAATATACATGAGTGTGTGTGCGCGCATGCGGAAGCTTCCAAATCTATAACTAGGGACAATTGAACCCTAGAAGGGGGCACCAGTCTATGGATTTTATGTTTGAAATATGGTAATTTAGATGGGATTGGATTAGGGGCACTTGGTGATGAAGAACCAGGCATGGCCAGAGAGCTTGATGTACACATGGGCCCACACCTACCATTGAAGGCATGGGAAAGATAGATGAATTAGGGATTTTTATCTATTTATTATTATTATTGGATATTTCAGTAATTTAGTATTTTAGGGTTTTATTTAGGGTAATAGGATTTGATCAGGGTTTTCTTTGATGCCTATTTATATGTTGGTTCAAACATTGTGAAAGGCACCTTTTATGATTATTATTGAATATTGAATCGAGTGATTTCAGATTTCGTCTCCCTCTATTATTCTTCTCTTCTCCCTCATTCTCCTTCTTTTTCATCTTGATTGTGTTTTCGAATCATCCCTACCCTTTCCTGCATCACTTGGTTTCCTCTCAGAGGCAATAATGTAATTTTGATAAGTTGGGGGGTATTTTGTAATATTCCTAAGAATAGCTTAAAATTCCAATAAATACATATATTTCATGGTGCCAATCATTTTTGTCTTCTATGCATTCCAATCTGAGCGGCAGATTTCAAGAAAAGAATATTCAAACTGATTTCATTTGATATTATTTCATTTAATGCAGCAACTTTATCTCAACCATTTAAATCTGTAGTATATATTTCAAAGGGCTAGCATAAGGTAGACAAATTGGTTTGTTCAAGACTAAGGAGCCATCTCTGTTTGATAGCAGATGGAGTTTGAAACGTAGAAATTTGCCATTTCTAGGCTTCTTCATTTTGCAATGCCCAAAGTCTCCACTTTACTGTGCACAAAGAAGAACCCACCATGCTGCTTTAATGCAGAATTCCTTCAGGAAGACCTGAAGGCTAACTAGTGAAATTTTTCCCAGATTTTCTGTTGAAAGGACATATTCCAATAAAGTATTTGATTTTCACGTAACCAAAACAAGTAAATTTAGGGTTAAAGCTTTTATGTGAAACATAGATGCAACACAATAGAGGATATATTACAATTCATCCAATTACTTTCTTCGAGTTCTACACCAAACTCAACTCAACAAAACCATTACAATTCGTCCTATTACTTTCTTGGAGTTCACAAAATCTATTTCCCAACTACTTGGGATCAGCTACACAAATCCTATTTTTCCATTTCGCTCTAAGGCTGTAACCTCAGCCAAACCACATGTAATCATATCCTTCATACTGTCTCTACCGACATTAACTTTGGTATTTCCCTTCCCCTAACATTACCCTCAATGTGAACCATGTCACTCTTCCTAACTAGCGCACTTAGTAGTTTTCTTTGTATTTGTCTAAACCAATTTTCCACCATCTTATCTTCAATTGGTGCTACTTCAACCATTTCACAAATGTTTTCATTTCCATCTTTTCCTGTCTTACCATACATCCATCTCAACGTTCACATTTCCGCCACGTGTGCATATGTTTCTTAATTGCTTAAATTTCATCCCATTAAACAACTGGTGTGATAGTTGTATAAAGAACTTCCCTTTCAATCTTAGTGGAATAAGCAGGTCACACAATATACTAGATGCAGTCCTCCATTTAAACCATCTTGTCTTTATTCTATGATTAAAACCATACTGAATTTCTCCTTTATTAAGAATTGAGCCTAAAGAACGAAAATGTTAACTTTTTCACACCTCTTGATCCTCAATCTTGACTACATCCCTATTTGTATTTCTAAGTTTGCAAAAGTTAAACTCCATATATCTAGTATTGTAGTTACTTATGTTAAACCTTTTTAATTCTAGAGCAGCTCTCCAAACCTCCACAAAAATGACAAAATTATGAATTTCATAAGTACCATAAATCACATTAAATCTATCTCTAGAGTGAATGGCTCTTCATTACTGACTCTAAATTCATCAAGGAGGAAGCTGTTCGATTTTATTAGAAGCTTTTGACAGGGGATAACTCCCACCCCACTGATGTTTCCACATGGTTTACCAAGACTTTGCCTGATGATACTCATCATTCTCTGGTTGCTGATATCACTGAAGATGAGGTGAGGAATGCCATCTTCTCCATGAAAGATGAGAAAGGCCGGCCCAGATGGCTTGATCCCATGCTTCTTGAAGGAATGCTGGGGGATAATAGGGAAGGATATAACCATGGCCATTCAATTTTCTTTTGCTTCCTGTAATATCCTCAAAGAGATGAACTCAACCATTTGAACCTTGATTCCTTAATCTCCTAATGCTTCCCACCTTTCAGATCTCAGACCTGTAGCCTGTTGTAACCCCTTATATAAGTGTATCACTAAAATCCTAGCTAATCAACTCAAAAATGTTCTTAACATGCCCATCTCCCCTAACCAAACAGCCTTTCATCCCAGAAAGGAAAATTTCACACAACCTCATGATTACCCAAGAGCTTTTGACCAATTACCAAAAACCCCCTTGTTTGTCCGAGAGCTATCCACCAATTACAAAACATTCCAATCAGCTAAAGGAACTTTAGCAACGTCTAAGACCTCCCAAACAACAGATCTGGCAACAGCAGCAGAAAACACGTCAGATCCCCTAAACACTTCCAAACCTCAATAAGGACGTCATTTGGTCATAAAACCATTCCTGATTTCATCTCCTAAACACATATTTAACCTCACACTCCTTAATTCTAGGGAGAAATATGTTATAAAAGTTACCTTATTCTTCTAATAAGCCTAAACCTCCTAGATAATTTTGTTTCAATAATTTTTCAAAGTAACTCTTCCATTTTTCTCTTTGTTATCTTTTACTAAAACTCTTAAATCTTTACTCTTGGTTTTTTTCTTCTTTGTGGACGGTGGTGTCGGGTCTCTTAGAGTACCCCATAGTCCACCATCGGGCACATGCAATCCTCCCATCCCACAAGCACCAACTCTTGATGCATTTAATATGGCTAAAATCTCTTGTTTTTGTATTACAGAGCAAGTGTTTATATATATATATATATATATATATATATATATATATATATATATATATATATATATATTCTTGCCTCCATATTTTGTGCCTAATTTAGTATAAAGATCATCGTATACTCTATATTTAGCTTTTTCCAATGATTTTTCAACTTCATTGGCATCCTTGTATTTCCAAAGGTTTCTATATTTCTATTTTTTTGCCAAAGTTTACACATTCCCGTTTTGTTTTCACAATGTTTTGGACCCATTCATTCCACCACCAGGTTCCCTTGGATGATGGTCCAGTTTTTTTTCATCCTCCAAGGACATCTTTTTCATCCTATCCCATATTAAGTTTGTTTCATCTTCTACGTTCCATGTTGCCTCTTTTAGCAGCCAACCCTTTAAAATTTTAATTTCTCTCCTTCTAAATGCCACCAACCAGTACTTGGGTAATGGGTTTATAATTATGTATCTCCTCTTACAATGTCCCTTTATCTAGACATCAATAACTATACAACTTATATTTTATTTTGATAAGTAACTATTCTATACACCTTATATTTTATTCTTATTATATTTAATGACCAGCAATTCAACCTCAATGCTTTGCCTTTCAGCAGAGTGTATGAATTAAGAAAAATAAAATATTGACTCCCTCTCACCTAGTCACCAATCACCATGGTCTATTCTTCATACAATATTAAGCAAAACGAATGTATGAAAGCAACACCTCAAAACCGCATCAATCAAATATATAGACTGCAAAGTTGTACAAAACGTCAACGGAAAACTACATACCAGTCAAAAATACAGACTTTAGCACAAAGGATTAAGCCCTAACCATAAATTCTTACTTCCAAATTAAAGCATTTTTAGATCCAACTCCAACGAAAATACATAGTTTAAAAATGCAGATTTTAACTTCTGAATTCTCACGTTGCATAGCTGCAAACTTAAAACTGTCTCAAGCTCTAAATGTAACACATATTTTTTCTGGTGCAATTTACGTTTCACATTAATCCAAAGAACTAACATAAGCACCCAAATGAGACCATTAATTCTTAACATTTATGTTTGCTTCCGTATTCTACAAAATTGAGTTAATTAACATTTGACAGAAAGATTATTATGGTTAGGAAAAAAGCTTACATCTTCCGTATTCTACAAAATTGAGTTAATTAACATTTGACAGAAAGATTATTATGGTTAGGAAAAAAGCTTACATCTTATTGGTAATCCTTTGTCGCGCCTCTGCTGGGAAATTAGTCCTCCAATCGCCCACTTCCATTGCGGGTACACCACCTTGTGCCGGCCTCCAATTATTAGTATCCATCACTACCTAATGCCATCAAAATAAATCCCATCAATCAACATTTCCTTAAATTCAGCGAAAAATGTATATATATATATATATATATATATATATATGTATACAGAATTTTTTTATTTGTATTACAAACTATGCATTTTGTTAGAATTTAAGAAATGCCCCCACTCAATGTTTTAAAATACTCCATTATATACTCTTGCCCCCACTGATTTTTTTGGATCTAAAAAATACTAAAGTAATCCGATTCTCCCTCTCTTTCATTAAGTAATTAGGTTATTATAATTATTATTTTATTTTAAAAAAAAATTTATCACTAAATTCGTTTTCTACAATGGTGCCCCTCAACAAAATTCTTGGGTCCCTATATATATATATATATATATGTGCGTGCGTGTGTTTGTATGTGTAAACCCTGGAGATGAAACAACATGCAAAATTCAGATATGAGAAGTCCGAATACTGCCCACTGTAAAGAAAACGATATGTGAAGTGGTTTAATTCAAAGCATGTATATGCATGCCTTGAGGCATTGAATACGTACACTCTACTTCCTTACAAACAAAACAGAGAAGTGTGTGTGTGTATGTGTGTGTGTGTGTGTGTGTGTATATATATATAAAGCATTAAAAATATTAGTCGATTGACAAATTAACAGAAGCATTAAAACAGTAGGAGATGAGATAGAAGAACTCGATGATGATGATGATTTTTATTATGAAGCCAATTGAAGATTAAATTCGATAAACTATTTAATCTGTAAAAAAATAGAATCAATCATGGACTATGAATTTGAAATTCTTGAGAAGATTGAATTGAGACTACCAAAACAAAGACGATATAATTCGAGGTGTACCTTTGAAGACAAAACAGATACTTAAAAATAGAAGACGATGGATTCAAAACCCTAGTTTCTTTGTACAATCTTCTTTGGTCAGTGTTCTAATTAGATTAGACAGACCATCTAATAATTTTCCAAAATTTCAAATTAAAAATAAATATCCGACAAAATTTGATATATATATATTAAGTACGAGTTGGTTACTTCCTCCTTAAGTCACACAATTCGTTCAAAGAGGTCCCGCGAATTTACAATTTTGGAATGAATTCACACAAAATTTGCAAATTTAATTTTTGCAATTCGCCACTTTGTTTTCCTAATTGGCAATTTTCATACTAATTTACTTTATATAACTAAATTTGTTAGACTCCAGATATGAAATACCTATATTGCTATATATGCATTTATTACTTAAACTATTACTCAATATGTATATTAATTACTTAAATGTCCATTGTTATACTACCGTATATATATATAATTATACATATTTGAAAATATACTATTAAAAATCTTCTCAATTGGAGAATATTACAAATAAATCATGCATCTATTAGTGAGAAAAGTTAGCTTATTATTACATATATCATTAATGAAATAAATAATAATGAATAGATTTGTATATGGATTTAAATAAATAAAAATATATATAAAATATATATGTCTTGATATAATTTTATTTAAACCTAATATATTGTGACGTTCCGAATTTTCACAAACGGAATATGTCAATGTGACCCGAAAGTTGACCCGATAACGGATTTGGATTGCGGAAGCGAAAACAAAACACAAAGCGTACGGGATATTCGGTATCCCTAAGACACCAACATGGCTTTCCAAGATCTGTTATCGGGCCGAATTTTCACAAACCCGGATATGTCAATGTGACCTGAAAGTTAACCCGATAACGAATCTAGTTGCGGAAGCGAAAACAAAACACAAAGTCTATGGCTATATTCGATATCCCTAAGACACAAACATGGCTTCCCAAGAAGCCATGGAACCAAAAGAAAACAAATGCGGGAGCAAAACGGTAAAAATAGACTAAATATGCCCCCAAGGGCAAAATGATTATTTCACATGCAAACAAAGTCTCAAGAGATGTACGTTATCTCTAAAATACAAACATGGCTTCTCATGCAGCCACGAACTTAAAGAAAACAAAAATACGGAAGCGACATTTTAAAAATGGACAAGTTTAGCCTTAGGGGCAAAATGGTAATTTTCAAAAATTTATGGGTGCTACCAAGCACACCCTTGGATAAACAACGTAAAATTAACGAAGATTGACTCAAGAATCACCATGGATAAACAATGTAAAATTAACGAAGATAGACTCAAGAATCACCTGATTCGGAGTTCGGACGAAGAAGTTATGATAAAATGGAGAAAAGGGGTCAAAATAAGCAACACATGGCCATCTAATGACGTCCTAACTTTCAAAAATTTTAGACTTTGACGCTTTCATGCTCTCGCTTTCGCTCTGGCACTCTCGCACTTGCTCAAGCTCTGTGTGACTTAGGTTCCTCCCTCCTTATTTTCGAAAACTGGATAATTGCTCCTGCTTTGTGTGACTTAGGTTCCTTCTCCTTGTTTCCGAAAACTGGATAATTATATATAATTTTTTTTTTTTCATAATTATATATAAGAGTAAATTGCATTAACACTTTCTGAAGTTTTGATCAATGTCACTCATATGCCGTGTTAATAATTTTTTTAACAATGATACCCCTATAGTTTCAAATGTCATATTTATTTTAGATTATTTGGTTCAATTAATTTACAAAATATAAGTCTTGTTAATTGACTAACTACCATCACCATTAAACCTCTTTCTCTACCATAATTTTTTTTTTTTTTTTTTGGTTCATTTTTTTTTTTTATTTTTTTTTATTTTTTTAACTCTAGTGGTCTTTGTTATGGTATGGCTTAGGTGTGGTTGTGGTCAGGCGGCTCGAGGGGACTTAGGCGGTCGCCTAAAGCCTAGCCAATAGGAAGCTAGGCCCCAAAAATTTTTAAAATTTTTATATTAGGTATTTATATCCTATAATAACTTCTTCTTTTTTTCCTCTCCCCATTAATTTCGATTTTATATTAAGCCTCAAATATTTATATCTTAAAATAACTTCTTTTTTTCCTCTCTCTCCTCATTCATTCCAATTTTATATTAGGCCTCAAATATTTATATTCTAAAATAATTTTTTTTTCTCTCTCTTTTCTCTCTCCTCCTTAGTTTCGTTGAATTCTAATCGATACATAAATTTAATATTGGCCCCCAAAAATTTACATATGACTTTTTTTCCTCCCTTTTTCTACTCTTATTCACATTTTACCATAAATCCTAACCAATATAGAAATTTAATATTAGGCCCAAAAATTTGTATCATTAAATTTTTTTTTCCCCTTTCTTTTTCTCTCATTGACGTTTTTTTACACAAGCACTAAAAACATTTTTGGGTAAGTTACACCAACAGTAAAATATTAAATATCTATTTAATGTTGTTGTTTGGGAAAATGGCGAAAACTTTCCATATATTTTTTTTGTTTATGTTTTATCTTATTGAAAAATTTGTAGAAGTATTAGATTTGGATTTTCTAAATCAGGATCAATAATTCTTTTTCTTTAATTATTTTTTAATTTTATTAAGTTTTGTTATTATAAATTTGTGTATATATATTTGTATATTTTGTTTTTGAGTTGTGACTAATTTTATTTATATTGTTGAAAAAACTACTTTTTATTTTTCGCCTAAAGCCCAAATTAGATTGAACTATCCCTGAGTTTATATTGACTTTGTCCGAGTCCGTTACACCGCCACTGATATCGCGACGTATTGGCCAATTGTAATCCCTTTTCAAGTTCAATATGCGGTTTGGATCGGCCAGTTTATACTAACCTTGTCTGATATATAATAATGCGACTGTAAACGACCTTGCGAGCCATGATCGGTGTTGAACAGGTATCGTACGGTCTCGTGTTGAAGGTGTATTATATCTATACAATGCATTGGTGCTGCACATGTGTGGCGCAGGTGTACGGAAACCGCGGATGAAGGTATTCTCTTGACAGATGACAGGTATCTCATCAATACCCAAAAAAGTCACTTCGCTTGACAACTTCACTTGAACACTCCCAATATTGTTACGCGTATCTTAACATCTCAAATAATTTATTTCCTAGTTACTATATTAATTTTTTTTTTTCTATTTAGTATATATATAAATAGATGTACTTGAGTAAGATACTTATATCAGTATTATTAGTGTATTTTCACTGACGAGTAATGAATTATACTATATTAATTTATTATTGAATATAGGTGTACTTGAGTGGGATACTTGCATTAGTATTAATGTATTTTCACTCTAACAAGTAATGAGTTATACTATATTAATATTTCTATAGAATATATATATGTACTTGAGTAATATTAGTGTATTTTCACTACAACGAAATGAGATGAAAAGAAAATTGAGTTGAGTATCAGGTAGGTTATCAAGGTTTGGTATGGACAAGTCTGTTAAATTGGTTTGGATAAAAAAAATAAACAAAAATTGTTGAGAAATTATACTCTGAATAAGTTCCAAATTAATTTAAGAGAATATATATATATATTGAAACAAAGATTCCCCAGGAATAAGGATTCCTCAGGTACATTCATCCAATCTATGGCAGAAGACTGGTACAACAACATTCATATATTCACATGCTTCTCATCCAAGTAATATACTCAAGCTTTGGTGTAATTGCAGGTCAATATCGCTCAGCTTCAATTTGATTTAGAGTTCGATCTACAAAATAAGTAAGAATTAGAACTATTGAAGAGAAAATAACTAGTGAGACGAGGAAATAATTTTTTTACCAGTACAAGTAACAGCATCAAGAATAAGCAACATCACACTGTTGTGCAACCCTAAAAAAAATGTACCTATTTTTATTTGGAAAAATAATGAAAATATGTACAACATTTTGGTGCAGACATTAATAAATATGTGTGCGCGCACGTGCTTTGTGTACAACAAATGAATGAAACATATATAGGGTGAGGAAGTCCTGTGAATGAGCCTAGTGTCACGATCCGATTCCTAACGACGCCATGAGCATAGAAGATACGCATGCTGGTTGGCTAAGAACATTCATTGACTGGGAATGGTTCCAGGGAAGGGGCGTGCAAGACCACAGGATGGTACCTCTTCAGAGTTCAGGCAGGTCGACTCGGTTCAGTTCGAGGTGCTTGTCGCTGGTCGTGGACTTGACTATGAAGAAGGGAGTTGGCCATCCCTGCACAAACTGATCGGGAGCTGGAGCCGTTCCCCTGACGAGGCCATGGCAGGCCGAAACCAGTCAGCATGTATCCTTGGGAGGGCAGGTCGTGGTGGCTGACCAGGGCGCTTGTGCGAGCTGAAGCAACGCCTTGGTGCCGCACGGGCCGTGCCGCTGCGCCAAATCTCTAGGCCCGTGACAAATGGTATCAGAGCAGGACTTGGGGAAAAGCACAGAGGTGTGCCCTCTTGTCGATCCGGGGGTCTTGAGAATGAAGACGGTGCACTGAAAAAGCGTCGGTGGGTAATTAATGCTGTTGGAGGAGAGCCTCCATCTCCCCATGAAGACGCGTCCTTTGAAGCCGGAGGGCCGCGCGCATCGGATGGCCGGAGGGCCGCGCGCACCAAAGTTCTTGCAAGTTCAAGAGGCGTGCAAACCGTTGTGAAGGGCGGGTATCAAGTCAGCCGGAGGGCGCTTGTTTGCTCGGGGTGTCGCGGAGGCGGCATAACGTGGGGTTGCGTCCCGAAGAAGTGGGCGTCCCTTTAGCCCGAAACCCTATCATTGGGCGAGTGCAGCCAAGGGTTGTACAAGGAAGCGATGGTGGGCAGGCGAGCATACCACTTGGAAGAGACAGACTTTGGAATGTTGGACGCAGCGGAGTCAGCGCCGCACTGCGACGAGGGCGTCGCAGGATTTGGGTGGGGGAGAATGTCACGATCCGATTCCTAACGACGCCATGAGCATAGAAGATACGCATGCTGGTTGGCTAAGAACATTCATTGACTGGGAATGGTTCCAGGGAAGGGGCGTGCAGGACCACAGGATGGTACCTCTTCAGAGTTCAGGCAGGTCGACTCGGTTCAGTTCGAGGTGCTTGTCGCTGGTCGTGGACTTGACTATGAAGAAGGGAGTTGGCCATCCCTGCACAAACTGGTCGGGAGTTGGAGCCGTTCCCCTGACGAGGCCATGGCAGGCCGAAACCAGTCAACATGTATCCTTGGGAGGGCAGGTCGTAGTGGCTGACCAGGGCGCTTGTGCGAGCTGAAGCAACGCCTTGGTGCCGCACGGGCCGTGCCGCTGCGCCAAATCTCTAGGCCCGTGACCTTGGTGCCGCACGGGCCGTGCCGCTGCGCCAAATCTCTAGGCCCGTGACAAATGGTATCAGAGCAGGACTTGGGGAAAAGCACAGAGGTGTGCCCTCTTGTCGATCCGGGGGTCTTGAGAATGAAGACGATGCACTGAAAAAGCGTCGGTGGGTAATCAGTGCTGTTGGAGGAGAGCCTCCATCTCCCCATGAAGACGCGTCCTTTGAAGCCGGAGGGCCGCGCGCATCGGATGGCCGGAGGGCCGCGCGCACCAAAGTTCTTGCAAGTTCAAGAGGCGTGCAAACCGTTGTGAAGGGCGGGTATCAAGTCAGCCGGAGGGCGCTTGTTTGCTCGGGGTGTCGCGGAGGCGGCATAACGTGGGGTTGCGTCCCGAAGAAGTGGGCGTCCCTTTAGCCCGAAACCCTATCATTGGGCGAGTGCAGCCAAGGGTTGTACAAGGAAGCGATGGTGGGCAGGCGAGCATACCACTTGGAAGAGACAGACTTTGGAATGTTGGACGCAGCGGAGTCAGCGCCGCACTGCGACGAGGGCGTCGCAGGATTTGGGTGGGGGAGAATGTCACGATCCGATTCCTAACGACGCCATGAGCATAGAAGATACGCATGCTGGTTGGCTAAGAACATTCATTGACTGGGAATGGTTCCAGGGAAGGGGCGTGCAGGACCACAGGATGGTACCTCTTCAGAGTTCAGGCAGGTCGACTCGGTTCAGTTCGAGGTGCTTGTCGCTGGTCGTGGACTTGACTATGAAGAAGGGAGTTGGCCATCCCTGCACAAACTGGTCGGGAGTTGGAGCCGTTCCCCTGACGAGGCCATGGCAGGCCGAAACCAGTCAACATGTATCCTTGGGAGGGCAGGTCGTGGTGGCTGACCATGGCGCTTGTGCGAGCTGAAGCAACGCCTTGGTGCCGCACGGGCCGTGCCGCTGCGCCAAATCTCTAGGCCCGTGACCTTGGTGCCGCATGGGCCGTGCCGCTGCGCCAAATCTCTAGGCCCGTGACAAATGGTATCAGAGCAGGACTTGGGGAAAAGCACAGAGGTGTGCCCTCTTGTCGATCCGGGGGTCTTGAGAATGAAGACGGTGCACTGAAAAAGCGTCGGTGGGTAATCAGTGCTGTTGGAGGAGAGCCTCCATCTCCCCATGAAGGCGCGTCCTTTGAAGCCGGAGGGCCGCGCGCATCGGATGGCCGGAGGGCCGCGCGCACCAAAGTTCTTGCAAGTTCAAGAGGCGTGCAAACCGTTGTGAAGGGCGGGTATCAAGTCAGCCGGAGGGCGCTTGTTTGCTCGGGGTGTCGCGGAGGCGGCATAACGTGGGGTTGCGTCCCGAAGAAGTGGGCGTCCCTTTAGCCCGAAACCCTATCATTGGGCGAGTGCAGCCAAGGGTTGTACAAGGAAGCGATGGTGGGCAGGCGAGCATACCACTTGGAAGAGACAGACTTTGGAATGTTGGACGCAGCGGAGTCAGCGCCGCACTGCGACGAGGGCGTCGCAGGATTTGGGTGGGGGAGAATGTCACGATCCGATTCCTAACGACGCCATGAGCATAGAAGATACGCATGCTGGTTGGCTAAGAACATTCATTGACTGGGAATGGTTCCAGGGAAGGGGCGTGCAGGACCACAGGATGGTACCTCTTCAGAGTTCAGGCAGGTCGACTCGGTTCAGTTTGAGGTGCTTGTCGCTGGTCGTGGACTTGACTATGAAGAAGGGAGTTGGCCATCACTGCACAAACTGGTCGGGAGCTGGAGCCGTTCCCCTGACGAGGCCATGGCAGGCCGAAACCAGTCGGCATGTATCCTTGGGAGGGCAGGTCGTGGTGGCTGACCAGGGCGCTTGTGCGAGCTGAAGCAACGCCTTGGTGCCGCACGGGCCGTGCCGCTGCGCCAAATCTCTAGGCCCGTGACACTAGGCTGTGAAATACAAGTTCTCAGCAGAATTTCAGCTCATGGTTCATGACTAGGCCTAAGATTTAACCAGGCTTCAAATAAAATTCAACACCCAAAATAACTGCACAAGTTCATGGTTAAACCATGTATCCAATGACCTCATTGTTGTCACATATTGATCCCCTATTGCCAGACACCCACACAAGAAATAGGCCGCTTCAATCCAACAAAGGGTTTAGATTTCACAGTCATGCCAGAAATTCGAGAAACAGGCCAATTCAATCCAACAAAGGGTTTAGATAGCAGTCATGCTAGAAATATAGGTGTCATTAAAACTCAAATCAATTGAACAAAGCATTTTCCTAATGGATCGGCTACATGAATCATATTTTTACTCTAACCTATCTAAGGTCATAACCTCAATCCTTACCAAGTCTTCCCCTTCTCCTAGTGTTACCCTCCATATGGACCATGTCAATTTTGTTAGGTCATTGGGACTATGTTGGCTAATTTCCTAGCTCAAATATGTTTAAAGAATGCATGGGTTGAAAATTGGAAATTGTAATATTGAATTTACTGATGAAAGCTTTCTAGATGTTTGTCTCAATTGCTCGAGCAAATCCTGTTTTAACACCACCTCTTGGCTGCCTATAAATACATATCTTATATACAAACTTAATAAGAGTTGAGACACACAATAAATTTGGGCGCTATGATGGTATCTACATATATACATATTTTTGCGAAAAAATACTTAGTGAGATTTTTGTGCGCATCTTAATTTTGCATTCATCATCATGCTTAGTGTTCGTGAGTGGTTCATTCATGTGTTGATATTACTGCTGCCGCGTACACTCAAGTCTATTCAATACATTCTTTAATCCACAACTAGATTGACAATCCAGAAAACTAGATTATGATCATCATTTGTGATAATGCAAGTTTAAATTGAAAATTGGAAAAAAATAATTAAATGGTTCTACAAGACCTATTCATCCCCTCCCCCCTCGAGGTCTAGATCAATGGGCCTTGCGTGACTCTCCATAAGAGCCTTGGGTTCCAGTCCTTAGCACATTCATATTTTACTAACTAGTGTACTTAATAGTCTTCTTTGCACCAGTCCAAACCATCTTGATCTATTTTTTCTTCTTATATCTCTGACAGGTGTTACTTCAACTCTCTCACAAATGTATTTACTCCGAATTCTATCCTTTCTTGTCACACCGCACATTCATCACAACTATGCATTTTCGTCACTCACTTTGTGTATATCGTTCTTAGCTACCCAAATTTTTGTCTTATAAGGAATGGCTGATCTAATAGCTATTTTATAAAACTCGCCTTTAAATTATAGGATACACAGATCATACTATATTCCAAATGTATTCCTCCGTTTAGCGCATTCTGCCTTAATTCTATGAATAACATCCTCTACGATTTCTCCTTTGAATAATTAAGCCTAAATAGTAGAAGTGTTCACTTTTCACTATCCCTTGATCCCTAATCTTCACAACGTCCATATTTGTATTTCTAGATTTACTAAAGTTACACTATTCGATATTACATATTGTCTCAAATCCTTTTAACTATAGAGCTTTCTTCCAAACCTCCAATTTAGCACCTTCCCCTTTTCTAGTTTCATCAATTAAGGCATCATTAGATTAACAAAACTGAAACATTTGAAGCTAAAACAAAAATGCATTGCATGGTTTATAAACATGAAATTAAATAAAGACTAACACAATAAGTTGCAGAAAGTCATTACCAATAAAATGAAGGAAATCAGTTCTTACCTAAAACTTTCCGGTCTGTATAAGGCGTCACTTAACTTCTTCATTCCATTTAGCAATTAGAATATAATCTTTACAGGCTCATTCACAAAACAATTAGTTAAGATTGCATCTTCTCTTCCTGTATAATATTTTTAATCAGTCCAAAGCTACACATTAAAATGAGGCAGCACGAGTGGCCCAATCGTACGCGTACACAAAATAAAATGAATAAAAAACAAAAAATAAAGCACATGAATGCAGCCAATCATTAGAAATACACCTTGGAACCCCCAAACACCTTGCTGTCTTGGCTCCATGTCTAACCACCAATCTTATCTCATATGCATAAGCATACTTTATAAAAAAAATTAAGTACAATATAAGATGTACAAATCTAAAATATAGAGAGACCATTGCATAATACCATTTTTTTTACTCCGTTCAAGGAAACTACATCAATGTATTAGGATTTGTAGGAATCTTCTCTAATCAATGACTAGTATGTTGAAGTTCTTTTTAGTATGACTCACGCGAACAATTCACCACCAGCTTGTAGAATATATACCAAATAAGTGCAACTTTAATTAGCTTGTGTTACAACAAACACGGCGAACCCAAGAAATAATCAAGAAACACGGCAGAAAAATAAACACGCCACACACAAAGATTTAGTGTGGTTCGGTAAAGCCTACATCCACGTGGAGATATGGCGAAAGAATTCACTATGTGAAAATCTAGAGATTACAAGTTTCAGCCCCAAACCCTAGCTCTCACTCTCACTCTCATTCTCACTCTCTTTTCTGAGATTTTCAGTGTCTCTCAATGGTCCCACTCCAAACCCTAAGCTCCCTTATATATCGAGCTACAAGAGAGTACTAAATAGGGTCCATGACCCGCAAGCAACGGTAAATTGTTTTTCCACACAAAGCTCAATCAACGGGTCACAACAAGACCCGACACCAAATTCGAGCCACAACATCATAGTTTGTAGTTTTAAAAACAAGTTTTTTGTGCACTTAGCCATGAGACACACACACAAAATAAACATATCCATATATATATTTTCTATTATACAAAAGTTATACTAACAAATATATATATATATATATTGTTAGTATAACTTTTGTATAATAGAAAATTCCATTCGACAATATGTTAGTTAGGATGTGAACAAAATGAGTTATTATTATTATTATGGGGAAACTTTGCCAACATTCGTCATGTCATGGGTATGACATGCTTCATGATGTTCAATCATGTTAGGCAGAATTTAAATTTTAAAAGAGACATTAGAGAGACCTTAACATTAGGTTAATAATGGCTTAAATAGTCTGCACGTTCCTTGACCTAGGTATGACACTTAATTGGTAGTTGTCAAAGTGTTTTCAAATTTAATTCATGGTTTAAAATTTTATATTTGACTTTGAAACAAATCTGAAAACAGTACATAGATATACCAGTCCATGATGATTTATGCATCAGTCCAACTCAATATTGAAATATCTTGGTGTTAAAACAGTAGGTACTACCACAGGTCTAATTTCCTACTTGCATTGGTGTAACTTTTTCCTGTTAACATGTGTTGCACCGGTTCAACGATTGGCTTCCACTGGTCTATTTTATCATTAATCCAAATCTCTGATTTTTTAATTCCAGTTGAATTCTATTTTGTGGAATTCTTTGACAACTATAAATAAAAGTAATTAGGGTGATTTTGAGGGTAGAAAAATTACACATATAGTTGGAACAAAGTGAGATATTAGGTGGAAGTTTGATAGCCCAATAAACCAGTATGGGCACAAAGTGAGATGTGCCTTTTGTGGTAGAGTTGTTAAACAGTGGGATTACACAATTAAGGAGTATTTGGTTCATAAGAAAGGTAATGTGGCAATGTGAAAATGTTCAACAAGTCCACGCTAAGCCTTTTTTTTCTAAGTAGGTGTTGAGTAATTCCAAATCTCAACATTTTTTTCCTTACTAGATTAGGATGTCTTGCATTTTGAGTCGAGACTCATTCTCAAACTGCATGCATAATGCAAGTCACAGAAAGTCAAACATACAATGCTTAGTTTTTAAGTCATCACCTTGCCAACTCAGCTATCCCGGGTTCAAATTTTCAACATTTCTTCCAAAGTAGTGGACATGAGATTAGATGAAGATCAATGAAATATTCAAATTAAAATACAATTACAGATTTTTAAAGTCAATTACAGTGGGTTTGGATAAGCAGGAAAGAGAAGGAATGCAAATAATAGCATAACTCGTCAGAGAGATAAGGAAAAGATGGTAACCCTTGTCGTGTTTGGATTACTAGACAAGGCAAAGAAAGGAAAAAATCATAGTAACCCTTCATCTTGCTTGGGAAAGATAGCGAGAAAGGAAAGGAAATGAGTGTTTCTTTATGTGAGTAGACATAACAGTTAATCACTAACTCGTTTATTCTTTCCCTTCAAATACTCCTCAATTATGGGAGGATGGTAATTCACCATTTTAAGGGGTTGATATCCATCCTTCTCCTTTCTTTTCCTCCCTCATTTTTAAACTAGACATGATATTAGCTTTGCCTCCTTTTTGCTTTCAGTATTCTAAGACTCATATGTATTCTTCTTTGACAATCTGGTCATTCCTTTCCTTTATAACTCCCTCAATCCAAACACACTCGATCCGGGAGCCATCGGAGTATCATTTTGATAGGCGCCATGTAAAAATTCTGTGCAAGTCACTTTCTTCATGGAGTATGATATATATACTGGATTAGTTACATGATTTTAGGAAATCAGGCGTGATAAGTTTACACCCAAGTAACTTGATTAGGAAGCTGGGAAACTTACAAGTTCAGCAGGGTTTTGGGGAATAAATTCTTAAAGCTTAAGCCATACAAGTTCAGCAGGGTTTTGGGGAATAAATTCTTAAAGCCCAAAAGCTTATGGATTTGAATCACTCTTTCTGGAAATCGAAAAATCAGATTTACCTCAAGTCATGGATCAAAAACTGGAACTTCACTGAAAAATCTGAAGAAGGAAAAGAGAGAGAAGAGAGAGAGAGATTCATGAAAAGTTGGAATTGGTTGGAATCCTTTTGAGGGTGTTTAGATTCATGAAAAGTTGAAACAGCCTGGTACAGTGCTGAGAAATGTCCAATACTAACATACATTTCAATTGCCACCTTTCCTACCATATAAAAATGATCTACTCAATTATTCTCTTTCCTCGCCATTTCTGATAGAATTTGTCAAGAACTAGAAATAATAGCAGTAAAAACTTAGATAAATAATCTAGTATTTAGCAACAGTAAGAAAAAAAATTAATATCCACTAAAAGAAGAGCTGACCTTTCTACTGCTTCGCTGCCTTGCATAGCTGCAATGTGGGCGAGGTGATATATTGCATTGAAGTTCCGTTGACCCATTGCTTCTTTATCAAAAATAGCATCTGACAGAACAACAGCTGCAGCTCCATGAGCAATATATTCCTCTATTAGATCTGTTTCAGTATACAAACTTATATCATTCAAAAAATATTCTATGAATCACCAATCTTTCATGATAGATTGATGAGCAGTCTAAATGAAACACTACAGCCATGTAAACATAGATATTCCTACAGCCACGTAAACATAGACGTTCTTACTTCGAAGCCATTTAAGTTTGTAACTATTATAAGGAAAACATGATGATGGAAACAACAGGTGATGATATGGGAACTAATCAACAAAAGGTACAAACTCTTGATAGGAGAAGAATTTAAGATGTTTGAAGGGCATTCAAAAAGTGTGTCCATTCTTTTTTTTTCCCTCTCTGTTGAGAAGTCAAGCTAACGTAAAGAATACAATCTCTTGTAGAGCATCTAAAGTAGCAATAAGAACGCATTTTTGTTTCAAGGGTGTGCATACTTGATGAAACCATTTAGTCTTATTTTTTTTTTTTTTAACTTAAAAATAAAAATTATGTGGTTCATAAGCAAGAAAGACAAATCTGAAATGACAAACCTATTTGTATGCCTTGAGAAGCAACCATTGGGATATGAGAAAATGGCTTGTTGAGTGCTGATATATACTGGATGCCACCTGATGCAGAAACGGGATAAACCTATTGCATCACCAAAATAAAAAATGCATCAGGCATGAGAGAACCTGAATTTAAAATAATGTCATATTAAACAAGATTTAATATTTGTGTAACAATAAGAATGCATCATCTTAAAAGATATGATAATACATTGCCTCATACTCTTGTTTGATAGATGTAAACGGTAAAAGTGTTTTTGAATGGAAAATGAATACTTTATATAGTAATTGGAATATGCTAAAAGTATAACCTAATGTCAGGCCAAAATAAGAGTGCAGTAGCAGGGCAAGAAATCCATAAATGTACTTCAAGATGAAAAAATTAATGATCACAAAAGCAAGCCTCCCTCACAGCTGACGCAAACCAGAGAGGAGGAGTGGGGTTCTTACATAAAGCTCTCATGGCCCTCACCCATTGTATGTCTTCGATGTGTGGAGAATGAGCAATTAAGCAGCAGGGGCACACACACATCCTGGACATGAAAAAAACAAAAGTAGTAGACAAATTTAGGGCTTGTTTTCATTCCCAAACCAACTCCATGTTGATAGATCTATAAACATAGTTTAAATGCCTTGAGTTGATGATGTTTCTCATTGTATTGTGTTCACTGAGCATTCACCAGTTCTACATCAGAAAGACACAACGTGACTGGGTTTTGAGAGCTTTATATAGCCTGGCATGCTATCTTAACACTCCTAATCATGTTATCTACAAACTTTATCAATTTACTTATAAACGTTCTTATATTCCCGGTCGCAATTCTAAGCTTACTATCTTTTACTACCGTCTTTACCCATGCTCATTTAGTGCAGGAACCTTGCTCAATTTCATTGCATCTGAATACCAGTGCAGCGTCCCTTTTCCATTTTCTGAAGCACCCAAATATGCAATGTGTTACATAAGGGGAGTCACTGGTATTTTCTATAAAATTGTCAGGATTCATGCTCAGAGGGGCCACACAAAAGCTTTATTCTGATTGTCAACTACCTAATGCAACTCTCCTCTTTTTCCAAAGTATATGTATATTTATTTAATCAATTCTTGACAAGAAAAATAATAATAATAATAATAATAATAATAATATAGAATTACGGTAAAATATCATTGAATTTCGGGGTGAAGTTAGATGTCAATCCATGATGATCTGACCATGCAAGGAAAAACAAACAGAGTTCAACAAGGATAATCTAATAAACATGAAGATTATAATGGTAAAACTCAACTAATTGTGCATTGACATGGGATTCTGGCATCTATATCTTCATAATAGAACTTGACATTTGAACATCAGAAAATAGTTAGTACTCACCTTGACAATTTTTGAACCAGCATTATATGCTGATAGTATCTGTGGAATGATGAAAATAATGTTCTGAGTTCAACTTGAGGATATTAAAGCTCAAAGTTCAAGACTCAACCAGAAATCTAGAAACATGAAACGCTGAAAATTTGATCTCAACATGACAAGAATGGAAGCCAGGTAGTTTAAAAGTATAATAACCGAGGTGGACTAAAGTAAATAATAGACAAAGCAAAAACATTCAAAGACGGGGAAAAAAAGTTTAAGTAGACTCTTACTTCTGTTGGGGTCATTGCACCAGGTATGTATAGAATATCACCACCTTGAATATCATCCACAATGCCCTGAAGAACATTAAACATGTTTAAAGAAAACAAAAGATGTGGTACTTCTCAACAGATTGTAATTAGTTTACCAGAGAAGAAGTTTATGACGAAGAGTCATAGTCATGCATAAATTAATGAAGAGTCTTAAATGAGAAGGAAAGAAACAAAAAATGATTTCAAGATTAATATAATAATGTCTTTCGCGTTTTGATAACAAAAGAATAACCCCTAGATACAAACCTTCACCATTGCAGGACTCATAAGGAATTTGGCTCCTGCATTTATGGCATTATTCGCATCCTTGGTATTTAAAACAGTCCCAACCTGCAAGATGCTCAGCAGTGTCTAAGCTACTCTAGCAAAGCAAATTCCAATTAGGACTAAAAGATGTTAAAAGAACACTTCCTCCTTATTAACAATTAGCATGTCAAGCACAACAGAGCACATGTGCCCAGATGTTGAAAACTGGCTCAGACACTAATAATGTTTCTGCCTTAATTAATTTCCAAAATGTGATGATAAGAGAAATATATTATTTGTATCCTAGGCCCTTCTGTTGTGGAAGCTGCATAAAGTCGTTGCTCTATTCATACTAAGATAACTAATGATGCATACATGCTCAAGGGAACTTTTAAAGATAATGATTAGCAAAATGAAAACAAGTCTCCACGTTCTTTCTCAGAAACAAACATATCAACAAAAACACATAATATGTACTTCTTTTTAATGAAAAAAGAAGAAGATGAACACAGCAGTGTCCACATGCCTGGACATTGGCAAGCCCTTGTCCAGCATATTGCATGCATGTTTAGTTACTATAGATAAAACTTAAATGATGTATACAACACCACATAGAAGCTAGGAAAATAATTACTCCTAATACTGTTGTAGGATGGTCCTGAACCAGCTGTTGTAAAACCTGTGTGAGAAAGAAAAGGAAAGCACATATTAGCCCTCATGTTGATTGGCTAAGTGCAGTACAAAAGCCAGAGAGATTGATTTCCATGAGTAAAACAACCTCAAACACACCTGGGGTGGACATCACAATCTCCAGCTACAAGTTAAGAAATAGAAAACAATCAGAAAACCAATAACATATCATAAATGAACTTCCATTGGATTAAATTTTCTGGTGTTTAACTTCCCTATCCACAAGGCCGAAATTGACCTGACCTCCGAATCAGAGGAGACCCCTAGGATCAGCCAAAACTGAAATTCCAATACACAGAAGCTATACCCAACCACAATTAATTTGTTACCAAAACAAGAATCCACTGATCCAAGAACAGATATAAATGACCACAAAACTATGAAAAAACAACCACCCATTATATATGATACTGTCCTCTTTGGATTATTTTAATTAGTAAATGTAGGGACAAACTAACATACATTTATGAGCAACTAGCTTCTATTTGTAGACATGAACAATAAAATCATTTATTTACAAATGGAGAAACTAACTCACAACTGAAATGCCACCGCTTAGTGCAGCACGTGCAGCTTCGATTGCCAGCTCCGAACTAACGAAAAGGGAAGAATTAAAATTTGATAATATGAGCTGTTTATTTTTGCAACCTTCATATATAACGAAAAGGGTAGCATTCATATATAAAAAAATAAAAAAAAATAAAAAATAAAACCTAAACCCCAACCTTCACATTCTCATAACTCAATGTAACATTCGAATCTCAATATGTGCGTGTTAGAGCTACAATCTGACATTGAATTCAATAAACTGATCACCACTCTCAGAAGAAAAAAGAAACTATTTTGTAGTAGATAAACATATATAAAACTTCTAAGAACTCATTACTCACTATTTTACAGAAACAGGAAATATAGAGATGGAAAAAAGTTCTAGAGAGAGAGAGAGTTGTGAGTGGAAGAAATTACCTTTGGGCACGAAGGCAAGCGATAATGCCGGAGTTCTTAATCTCTCTTAGGGTTTTATCAGTGGAGGAGAGAGAGAGTTTGGGGGAACAACAACAGTGTGAAGAGCGAGGCTCAGGCGGTGGCTTTGACGTACCAAGAAGCCAAGAAGAAGGAGGAGGAGAAGGCCATAAACGGAAGCTCGCAACGGCCATATCCACTTTCTATTTTCTAAAAGAGAAGTGCTAATATTTTGGAACATTTTCCGGACACTATTTTCTAAAAGAGAGAGGTGTCAAGGTAAATTACACTAACCGCTCTCAAAAAGTTTGGACAAACTACACACGATAAATATTTTAATATTTATTACGTTGACCACTCCTAAACTCGTTTATTGGTTGTTGTACAGTATAAAAGTATATTATATTACATTTTATACAATGGAAGGGCAAAATTGTTAACTTAGGGGCATTATTGAACACATGCACCAAATCTCAGAGGAAGTCAAAGTAATAAACGTTAAACGGTCTATTCTCGTGTAATTTGTTCAAACCTGGGGAGATCACTCTAATTTACTTTTATTATTATTGATTTTATTTATTTACTTACATTTTTTTTTTTACTAACCTCTTAGAATATCCCATATGCTATGTTTGGTTGGAGGGAAGGATTGAGGAGGAATGGATGACAAGAGGGATGAATGAAGCTTTTCGTGTTTGGTTGGAGGGAAGAGAAGAGGAGGAATCAATGAGGGATCCTTTCTTCATATTTTTCTATCCGCTCAATTTTGGGAGAAAGGGAGAAGAGAGAAAGTAAATAATTACCTACAAATATACAATTTACAATTTTAACATTTTCAAAAAAATTCTAAAGAACATCTACCTTTTATTATTTTATCGGTGAGGGTATATTGGTAAAAATATATAAAATCTCTCTTTCCCTTCCTGACACCTTCCCTTCTCTAGGGATTCCTCATCCATCCCTCCCCCTATCTTTTCCATCCATTTTTTCATTCCTCCAACCAAATGAAAAATAGTCTACCACTGGGTACATTCAATCCCTATGTGCCACAATGCACGAGACAATGAATGGAGAATTTTCTTAGGAGTGGTTAAAAAATATTCAAACCTTAACTTGTTGTGGGATGAAAACCAATGTTATATATGCGATAATTGAAATGAACTTTTGTTTGAATTTAAATTGAAATGAGTATCATTTGTTGCACCCAAAGTTCTTACGAAAAACACTATGTTCTTACGCGATAGAGTGATGCTGACCAACATTTTATTATGAAATGGCTTATTAACGTATGTTTGAAGTCGCCACCTAACATTGGATTTTAGTGTGTTAGGTCATCTAAATGTGTTTGACTATCATCTAGTCATTGTGAACCAAATTAATGGATTCAATGTTTTTCTTATGCATGAAGAATGTGTTAGGCACCCCATTCATCCATGGTACACTTTAAACTTATTTTTTATATGGCATGTCTGAGTTAAAGTATTTTGTTATGCTTAGAATGTAGCATTATGAGATGCCTAGTTTAATGTTGCCTTTGAAAGTTAGAATATATCAATGAGTGATAAAATCTATGCCTTGGTAGGCGTATGTGCATGTGTGAACTTGAAAGTATTTAAATTCGAAGAGATGTATGTTTTGACTTGGAAAATAACATTTTAAAAAGAGTGATTTTTTAAACATAAGAGCTTTTGAAAAATAGTTTGAAGAGAGAACTATATATGTTCTTGAAAACTGGATTTGAAAACATATTTGTTTAATTTGAAAAGAGAGTGGAGTTGAGAAAAGAGTTTTTGTCTTGAAAAAGTTTAGATTTGAAAAGAGGGTTAACTTATGAACCTATAGATTTGAAAATAGTTTTTATTATTTAAAAGGTAGGCTAAGGGAACCCATTCCTACTCCAACCATCCTGGATATGTAGCCAATAGACTCCACAGTCCCACACATCTTCAAAGAGCTACATTTTATCCTGGATATGTAGCCAATAGACTCCACAGTCCCACACATCTTCAAGAGCTACACTTTAAAGTAGTTACAAAGGTTTCATGCGCACATAGATGAGGCTATTGCAAAAAAGGGATAGTCGAAGTAGCGAGATGCAAAAGTAGGGTTAGAAATACTCCTTACTTTGAATATTGTTTGTCTCTTTACCGTTGTTTAAAGACTTAAAGTTAATAATTTTCTACCTGAAAATTAATAAGAGGCTTGAGAGAGTGGTTAGTGGGATTTCCTATGCTCTAAGGATCTTAATCTATGGTTTGAGGTGGTAGAGACCCCTATTTATAAGATTTTTGGACTTGTTGAGCAAGAAAAGTCATTTTTGAAAAGTGTTTGTGGCTTATTGTGAATAGGGCCAAAACTTGGGGCAATTTTGGAAGAAAAACAAGGGTATCGTATCCCTATGATGAGACACCCTAGTGATTGGTCTAAATTGCCCTTAGTTGAGGGCAATTTTAGAAGAAAAATGAGGTATAGCATCTTTAAACTGCGTCAACCCTTAGAAAATTCTAGAATCACATGCTAATGTGTTTTTCCTGGGGTTTTGAGCAATATTTGGTCCCTAAGTTAACTATAGATTGTTCTTTTTATGCTCCGTTTGGTTAGATGAAAATAAGTTAGAAAAGAAAAGAAATAAGAAGTGAAAGAAAAATGAATTGAATGAAAAGAAAAAAGATTTTCTAGTATGCATTTGGTTAGTATGAAAATTTATCCAAGAAAACTGTAAAAAAAATATTAGTTTGTTAATTTGGATAACATAAAAGTGAAAAAAAAAGTGATTTTGCATATTAAAACTACCCTTATGAAGTAAAATGATAAATTATTAAATTCAAATATATAATTGTTTATATTTATTTTTATTATTTATATTTAGAATAAAGCTTCATAATATTTTCTAGGTAAAACTAATTATTAGTTTAAGATAAACAAATTTAAAAAAAAAATTAGAGACGAAGAGGCAATACTACTGTTTGGGAGAAAAATTAAACATTTCACCATATAAAAGATATATATATATATCCATATCGGATTATGAGTAACTAGAATTGCAACATAAAACATCGGATTAAAAAAAATAAAAAATTCTATTTAGAAGCAAGATCTATTTTACCATGAATTTGGTTAGTATTAAAGTCTTTCGAGGAAGTTATGATAAAATATTTACTTATCAAAAAAAAAAAAGTTATGATAAAATATGATTTTATTAATTTGGGTAGGATGAAAGTGAAAAGAAAATAATTTTACTTACCAAAATTACTTTTATATCAGTTAGAATTTAAAAAATAAATATTGTGCAATAGATGATAAAAATAAAAATAAAAATAAAAAAATTATAATAAAATAAGGCAAACTAATTTTTAAAGGTTGGATTACACATAATTAGAGAGCAGAGGTTCAACTAAATATTAATATTTTTTTTCTTTTATTTTTGAACCTTCGCATTAGATACGTGGATTATACTAAAAAAGATGCACCTATCCTATTTTATTGAAAGAAAAAAAAAAAAAAATATTGCTTTATAAAAATAGTTGTTGAAAACTCACAAAGTTACAAAAGAGAGAGTTACCCAACAACAAATACAAATAAGTTAGTTGAATAAAATAGGAAGGTCAAATAAAAGGGACTCCTTTAACGAGAAAATATTTTATGGGTGAAAATTTTTAGGGACAAATAGATCGATGCGGGAAACTAAATTTTCTCTTTCTTTTCTTTTTCCTTCTATTCAAACTCCAAAAAAGTTTAAAAAATTTCTCTTTTCTTTCTTTTCTAGTTGATTCCACCTAACCAAACGAAACCTTAGACTACTTTAACAATTTTCCCTTCCTTTTAGAGGGGTAATGATCGAATGAAAGGAATTGTGTTACGAACTCTGGGTGTACCCAAGGGTTTGGGACGTTCAGGACGAGATGACGAAGTTCATTTTTCGATCCAACGAACAAATTGTGTGATTTTCTTAGTTTATCCAAACTAGTATTATTTAATAAATGTCGTTGAAAAACTATTTTAAAAAAGGGAGAGAAAAATATAAAAATATTCCTCAATTGTTTTAATGAATTATTTAAAATTTTGGGGAGAGAAATAATTAATACCACCTTTGGACATCTAATAGATTATTAATTATGAGAAAGTTCTCTAATTTTTTATCGGCTTTGAATTCTTAAATTTCAATTATCCTCTTGATTTTCACTCCTATGTCCTTGTATGGAATCCGTAAGTTAGGAAGAGTGGGTTTGAAGTCAACTTTTGAATTAAGGTTTTTGAAGATTACCCCCGCACCGCAAAAAAAATGGAGTGAGTCACCTCATTCTCTTTGTCTAACTCTAATTCACCTTTAACTTTGATTTGCTCTCTAAGTTAGCTTAGGATCAAGATCTAGATGGACTTATATTATCAACTATTTTTTTCCCTCTCTTAATTATCTAATAAAAATGTAAATCTTATTTGACTAATGCACTTTGTTTCCCAATCTTAAAAGGAAAAATTAATTATATTTTGTAGATACTAGTATAATTTATTTCTAAGAGGATCACATAATGTTGAAACTCAATCGTCTCTAAATATATCTAACTTTGATTAGTTTAAGGCACTGATTGATAAAATTAAAAAATTATATACTGAATTTTAAGAGTTAAACACCAAAGCGCATCTATCCCAATGATATAACCTTTCCATTCTCAAATAGGAGGGGAGGGGTTAGAGCTCATATGTGGGGCAAAAAGTGTGAGTGGGTGAGTGTGTACATATATTTCTTGCTAATCTAAAAATAATAATTAAGAGTTAAAATTCAAGGGCTCCTTTGATTAGATGGAAATTTATGATGGAAAGTAAAAGTGAAAAAAATGATATGAAATAAAGAAAAATCAAATTTCCATCATGGATTTGATTAGTAGGAAATTTTTAGAAGAAAATTGTGTGAATTATTTTGTTAGTTTGGATAGTATGAAAAGGAAAAGTAAAGGATTCTACCTGCCAAAATACCTTTAAGATTTCAAATACTAAAAAAATAAATAAATTTGTATTAGATAAATACTCTTTCTACTATTTGCACCCTAAAATAAATTTTTATGTTTGGGCATTCAATAACGCCCTTGAGTAAAATCAGAGTAAAAATGTTTAAGTGTTAGTGAAGTACTGAATCAGTATTTATGAGGTGCCGAACTTATTAGGGGTCGAAATTCAGTGGCCGATTTAGAATAACAGTAGACCCCTATTCTGGAATAGCAGTTTCTAGCGATAA